CAGTCTTGCTTCCTGGGAGCTGGAGAGGGAACGATGGGGCGGAGGAGGAGGAGAAAGAGCATTGAGGGAGACAACTGAGGCGTCGCCCACGGCCCTAGCAGCCAGGGCGACAGAATACGATGGCATGTTGTCGGCCTCGCCGGCAGCCCGCACGACATCGGAAGACAGCTGCAGTGCCTGGCGGTGGGGGGGGGCGAAGAGCAGCAATTCTTCCGAACGCGGAAAATGATTGGCGAGAGTTGCCGAGGTGCGAGAAATATTGTCCCACGCTGTGATACTCCATGGCGGGAACAACTGCCGTAACGAACTAATCCAAGATACCAAGACTACCAAAGGCCTTTTCCAGTTCATCGGGCCACGAGAAGATCACTGATTTCCGTGATCTTGCTCGCACTGACAGCACGAAGTTCCTGAGAGCAAGCCTTTTGGGGCAGATGTTCTCAAGCATGCCCGTTCAGAGCACCAAGCAGGAACAGGTGCGAGCGTGCCCCGACCATGCGCTGGCACTGCCCGTTGCCAGGCCTGTTCGTCAAGAGACTCCTGAACGAGTCCATACGCACATGAATGTAAGTCGGGCCTGTCCCTCCACACGAGGAGTATCCAAACATATTTTTAAAGTCGTATAGTGGCGAGTGTTCTACTATGTTTGAGCATGTTGTGTGTGTTTTTTCATCCAAAATCCGCCAGTAGGGGGACACGCCCGACCTCAACATAAATGCAGGAAGCTGGTTGAGAATTTCCCAGACTGTCCGGACGTGCATTGGTAAATGGTCGTCAGCGGTAAACAGGGCGCAGAAATGAGTGCCTGAAGGGGAGGCGATTGCCATGACGGTACAATGCGAGGCTCCCAGTCAGGCGCAGCATGGTGTTCCATCCACCTTGTTGCGCCAGAGGATGAGGAGGACGACGATGATGACGATTGAAATGGTGGTGGTGATGACCTGAAGATAAGGATGATGATTATAATGATGATGTTAATGCTTATGATGATGCTGATGGTGCTGATGGTGTTGATGATGATTAGGGGGAGGAGGAGAAAGAGGAGCTGACGAGGAGGAGAAGCAGGAGCATGAGGAGAGACGAGGATCAGGAAGAGAGAGGAGGAGGAGGAGGAGGAGGAGGAGGAGGAGGAGGAGGAGGAGGAGGAGGAGGAGCAGGGTGAGGAGGAGGAGCATGAGGAGAGAGGAGGAAGAGAGAGGAGGAAGAGAGAGGATGATGATGATGATGATGATGATGATGATGATGATGAGGATGAGGATGAGGATGAGGATGAGGATGAGGATGAGGATGAGGATGAGGATGAGGATGAGGATGAGATGAGGATGAGGATGAGGATGAGGATGAGGATGAGGATGAGGATGAGGATGAGGATGAGGATGAGGATGAGGATGAGGATGAGGATGAGGATGAGGATGAGGATGAGGATGAGGAGGAGGAGGAGGATGAGGAGGAGGATGAGGAGGAGGAGGAGGAGGATCCGCGTAAGCCCAAGACGCCTCAACAATATTGCAATCTACCCGCCTTCCAGTTCCCTCTCCACAGGGCCCTACAATAATATACTCCTCTCGCTTCGCGGGGTGCACGTCCGGATTGCGGTATGCGCGGGCGTTTGGTGCGTTTTGGAAGATGCTCGTCGTTTCTATGGGCATCGACTTCATGAGATTTGGCTGACTTGGGACTGCCCCAGGCCGTCTTCGAGCGCGCTAGGGTCGCATGGATCCTTCGAGAGTCGTCTTGGGGACCATTATGTGCCCAGCTATGTAGCGATGTGAACGACATCAGAGAACGACCTCAGAGAAACGCGCGTCGAGCCAGGTGCAGCATGTCAGCGTTCGGTCGGAGGGCCGCCTGTACAAGCGTCGCACATGCACAAAGGACCAGCTTAGGGAGCTCTTTGATGAAGCTTCCCGTGCGATGCGCAGGGGCATTCTCGAGCGCCTCAGGGGGGCTTCTTGGGGACCTCTTGGCCTCGGGGGGGGGGGCTTTTCGGGAGCTCTTTCCGCCCTTCCGGGGCCATGTCGGTCCGTTTTGGGGCCTTTCTTGGCGGGCTCGGAGTCCGTCTGATTCCTCCAGAGGCCGTCTTGGGGGCTTCTCGCGGCCGCCTTGCGGCGTCCTTGGGGTCCTCTTGGGCTGCTTTGGGGGCCTCCTGGACCGTGCTGCGGGCCATTTTTAGTTGTTCTGGGGACCACAGGGCCTTGCACTAACATATTCAAGTGGCTTACGCCATTCCGCCGACCCTCAGGAAAGACAACGAGTAACGCACGATCGCGGAAGGTATTCTGAGCATTTTGGCCTCACTACATTGCGTCGCATCTCAATTAATTAGGGGCCTTGCCGGGCCTCTTCGGGCCTTTGGAGCTTGCCGGTCTATACCATCAGGTTCCGTTGGTTTGGAAGACACGATGTCGAGTTCGTCGCCCGTTTCTCGAACATGATTCGGGGTTCGGGGTTCCAGGAGAGTAGAGATCCCTGGGGGAGGCTGTTGCCGAGCATGTCGCGCGCGGTCTTACCCTTGCAGATGTGGTCGGGCGGTCTCCGCGTCTATGCATGTGGGAGTCTGTGGGCAAGGCTCAGGAAAGGCTGTGGGAGGCAATAGTAAAGCGTTTGGGGAATCGGTTCGGGGCGTTGTCGCGGGCTCGTGACGGCCACTGGGGGGCGTCCACGGAGTGTAGAGATGCAGGGAAAGCTTGCAGCGTTCGTGGAAGGAATTGAGTCAAGAGGCACGTGGATGCACATGATGGGGCTCTCGGGATGCTTCCCAGGGGCATCTTGGAGGGCTCATCGTGGCAACTCGGGGGCTTTTTGGACCTTTTCGGGTTCCTTTTGGGGGCCTCGTGGGGGGTTCTTGGAAGCCTCTCGGCGCCTCTTGGGGACGCCTCGGGGGCCTACAGGGTGCTTGGTGCCCTCTCGGGGGAAAGGCCCGAACTGTCAGTTCGCATTTGCCCTCTTAAACCCTCTTGGGGCCCAAGAGGGCCTCTCTTGGGCAATCCCGTCTTGGGGGCCCCTGGGGCCGTCTTCTGGCCATCTTGCGCCGTCTTGGGGCTCTCTTGGGCGCCTCATGGCCCGTCTTGGAACGGTTTTGGGTGCCCTCTTGGTCGTCTTGGTCGCAGCCAAAGAAAAATGCGAGCATGCTAGACATGCACGTTTTCCCAAGGGGCTGGGGTAATGTTTGCTTAGGGGGCCTCTCTCGGCGGCTCTCTGAAACCACTCATGGGCCGTCTCGAGGGCCTCGTGGACCGTCCCGAAGCCATCTTTGACTTGACCGTCGTGGGGCTGCCCTGGGCCGTCTCGACGCTCTCTGGGACTGTCTTGGCGCTCTGTGCGGACCCTCTTGGGCTGTCTGGGGGCTACATTGAGGCTCTGCTGACCCTAGGGCGTTGGGGAGCCCGGAGACCCTCCCCCGCCAATATGATGTTGGACCCTGGGGGAGGAGGGGGGGAGAGGGGGCAGCCGAACGTCTAACACGCCATTTCAGCCTCGGTCAGCGGGGGCCGGCGGATTGCCATCGCGGGAAATGCCCCATCGGAAGACAAGCGCCTAAGAGTTCTCAACCGTGCTACTACACTGTAGCGTCGCGAATCGATTTGACTGTTGCGTTCGGGTAATCCCAAATCGCGCCGGTGCGCGATTCCTGGGACGCCAGCGTCGCGAGTCAACGTGACCGCTGCGTCCTGAAAGTCCTAAGCCATGCGAGAACATTGTCTTGGAACTTCAATAGCGCAGAGCAGCGTGGCCGTTGCGTCCTAACGAGCACAGTTCTCGCCAGAACACTAATCTTGGAACTTCGCCCATGCGAATCCTTGAATCTGTTGTAGAATTTCCAAGCGAATGTGCGCGGCTCTGAAAAGAGAGCCGCCTCCTGAGAAATTACCTCTCACCATTTCTGTGTTTTCGCAAAGTTTGAAACGAGCGTCCGCGGTGCTGAGGCGAGAACAACACTTTGAAATTTGCCCGCTCTGCATCCGAAAAACGGTTGCAGATGTTTGAAATTATGTGCGTGGAGTTAAGGCAAGAAGCACAGTTTGAAAGCCACCCGTCCTCCACTTTTGAAAACTGCTGCAGACGTTGAAAACGAAGGTGCGCGGCGCTCAGGCGCGAGCCACATGTTGAAAGGGGCCCACCCTCCGCCTGTGAAAGCGCTGCGAATTTCAAGCTTCATGATCTTGAATGGCGAGGAAGTCCCATGCGAAACGCCCGGCCCGCCCTACCGACGGGCCTAGGGGTGCGACAGAGAGAAGTTTTGTCGGAAGGAGAAAAGGTGGAGGTGGAGGAGGAGGGGGAGGAGGAAAAGGAGGAGGAGGAGGACGAGGACGACGAGGACGAGGAGGGAGAGGAGGAAGAGGAGGAGGAAGAGGAGGAGGAGGAGCAAAAGGAGAGGAGGAGGAGCAGGTGGAGTTGGAGGAGGAGCAGGAGGAGAGGAGGAGGAGAAGGAGGAGGAGAAGGAGGAGAAGGAGGAGGAGAAGGAGGAGGAGAAGCTGAGGAGGAGGAGGATAAGGAAAAAGGGTTGGGGAAACGCAAGACTCGAGTACGCCTGAATTCGGGCTTGCTGACGCTGTTTGACAAGCGCGTCCTGGATTTTGACGGTCCACTTTTCGTGGAATGCTTGCCGCGGGAGTTCGCGTTAAATGTTGGATTGGTCTTCGTCATTTTCATGATGGCCACGTCAGGCCAATCCGAGCCCGCCGAACCCGAGTCTCACGTCTCCCCGCAATTATATAGGGTGGAGAAGGAGGAAGAGCAGGAGGATGAGGAGGAGGAGGTGGAGGTGGAGGGGGAGGAGCAAGAAGTGAGGAGGGGCAAGAGGAGGAGGAGGAAGAGGAGGAGGAGGAGGAGGAGGAGGAGGAGGAGGAGGAGCAGGAGAAGGATGAGGAGGACAAGGACAACGACAAGGCCGTTTGGGGGTCGACGTCTTGAGGAGGCGAAGGAGGCGGAGGAAGAGGATGATGATGAGGAGGAGGAGGGGGAAAAGGGTGAAAGAGGGCCAGCGCATCCCCTTGCAGGTAAACGAGCATCAGCTCGTCCTCAAGGCCTTCGAGAAGGTCGAGGTGTGGCGCTCCCTCTTTTCGGCCGCTCCGGCTGTGCGCGCGTGCGGCGGGGTGGGTGGGGCGCGAGGAGGGGCGCTCGTCGGGAGGTGTCCAGCTCCGGCACCTCGCTGACACGTGCGATGGTCGGGGCTCAAGGGACGGGGATCAGTGCAAACGGGGGTCAGTCAGAGCGTCGGATTTTGCAGGATCCTGCGGAGCCAGAGCTGCGCTGACCCAGGCTTGGGCGCGGGATTCTGCAGGATCTTGCAGGATCCTGCTCCTGCAAAGCCTGACCGACCTGGGTCTGGATTGACCCTGGCCAGGAGATCCCCGAAATCTTGTTCTGATCATTCGCCATGGGGAAACTAGTGGAACGAATAATGACATAAACATAACAACTCGGAGGTCCGCGCGGATTTCTCAGATCCGCGACAAACCCCCCTCCCTGGCGCGCCGAGCGCGCCAAGGGCGGCGCTGGAGGCGCCGCCAGGGGGCCCCAGCGCCGATCCGAGGAATCCGCGCGGACCTCCGAGTTTTTATTTCTATTCGGTCTCCTAGAAGCGAGTCCTGAGGGAAACTGGTCAGCACAGTCAACCCGCATAGTAAGGATGGGCAACCTTCCCAAAGGTACCCTTGCATCTCTCGGCCCAGCCTTGGCCACTTTCGTTGGCCGCGCCCCGCTCGAAACGCCTCGAAATGGGCGTCCAAGGCCCTTGCATCTTTGTCGCGCATCCTTGCTATACGGGTTGACAGCAGGTCCTCACGAGACATCTCTCAGCTCATTCGCCATGGGGGCAGCGGGCCCCGAGGGAAGCGGGTCCCGAGGCGGTTCTCCCAGCCTCGGGCCCTCGGGGCCCCCCACGGGCTCAGGGGCCGTCGGGAGACGGCTCGGGATGCGGAGCTGGCCCCCGTGGAAGGCAACAGGCTTGAGTCGGGCCGGTCCCTCTACAGGAGGGAAATCCAGAAACAGTCAAGAAATAGTCAGGGGAGGATTTTTTGTACTATGTTTGGCCATGTTTGAGCATATTTCGAGTATTTTAATATTTTGTTCAAAATCTGCCTGTAGGGGGGGCGGGGGGACATGCCCGACCTAATCAACGACCCGTTTCCCTCAGGGCCCGTTCCCCCCATGCCAAAAGATCACGCCCAACAGGTGGGAGCTTCTCGGCGGACTCGAGCGGGGTCGTCGGCCGCAGGCCTGCGGCGGCAGTCTGTTGGCTGGTGCGCTTCGGACTTCGTCCGCGTCTTGACCTCCCGAAATCGCCCTTCCATGCCACGGCGTGCAATGCAATGCTAGGTTGATACTACGCTTTGCGGTGCTCTTCTACGCCATGCCATGCCGTGCTCGACAATGCATCGCGTACCCTTTCGGGATCATTGCCCTGCTCGACATCCGACTGAGCGAGTAGAGAGGGTAGGATGTCAGATATGACGCGAGCGCGCCTAGCTTGTCCTCCTCCCCCTCCTCCTCCTCCCCCTCCTGCTCCTGCTCCTCCTCCTCCTCCTGCTCCTTCCCTCTTCCTTCTTCCTCCTCCCCTCTTCCTCCTCCCCAACTCCGTCGGGCGCGAGCCCGAACCTGTCGCGGCGCTGGGCACGGTCAGGCGGGCCGTGCCCAGGCGCCCGCCGCGCGGACGAAGCGGGACCTTTCTCTCGTGCGCCCGGCTCCTCCTCGTCCTGGGATCCTGCCTGACTCCTCCTGCTCCTTGTCCTGCTCACTTTTCCTCCTCCCAGTTCCTCCTCCTCCTCCTCCTCCTCCTTGCCTCCTCCTCCTCTTCCTGCCCCTCTCATTTCTCATTACTTCCTCCTCCCCCTCCCGTCAGTCAGGGGCCGTGCTCGTGAAGCCCAACGTTCTGATTTCAGAACCGGCTTCACTCAGCCGCATGCTCTGATGCAGTGTTTCGTGCCCTGCCGGAAAGGCCCAGCCCGTCTTGAGCAAAACGTGCATGGAACACTGTCTCCATGGGCGCTGGTTTTCCCTGTGGCCAGGTCACACTTCGAAGAGCGTCCCCAGAGCTCACCCGAACCAGAACACGCCTCGCGTTGCGCGGGGCCTCGCGACGCGACAGGAGACCGGGCCCGGGGGATGTGTTTTTTTCTGGGAGCTCTGGAGACCAGGGCTGGACCTAAACGCTGGTTTGCTGGACTTCGGCTGTGTCTAGTTTTTCGTGGTGGCGGGGAGGTGCAGGAAAACAGGTATAGCGAAACGAAAACCAAACGACGACACAACGAACAACAATGTAAAGGTCGAGCCCTGCTGAAGACTGCGCTGTGAAAAACGACGTCGGGCGGGCGCGTGCGCGTTTCCTTCGGTGTTCGGGGGGGGGGGGACCAGCGGACCGCCTCCCCGATCCAGGCCATGCCCATCACGGGCCCAGGATATTCGGCGTCTACGCCCTGTCGGCTTGGCCGAGGAGGTACAGCCGGGGTTCATGTCAAGAAAAACCCGGCTCGCCTCCAGGGTGCCCTGGGTCTCTTGGGTCTCGATGGTTTTGCTATGGAAGGCGTGAGGCTCCCATACCAAGAATCAGCGGACGCTCTGGGGTCTGGGGGTTGGGTTTCTTGTGAAGGTTTCTTGTGGACTGGCCTCCACTGTATGCGTGCCGATCCTGGGCCCAGGATGGGCCTGGCCAGGATCGGTGAGGCGGTCAGCTGACGTTCCCCCAGTGGTCCGCCCCAAGCCGCCAACGCTTCGCCTCGCCTGGCACCCCACGCGCTGTGTCAAGCCCAGTCTCTGTACATCGTGCCCATGCTTTCTGCCGCCCCCCCGCCCCGTCTGACTCATACGTTTCACTTGTATCGCTTTGCTCGGGTCTGGATGTTCCTCTCCCCCCCCTTCCTCTCTCCGCGTTCCTTACCTCTCCCTCCTCCTCCCTTCTTGCACGCTTATTTCTCCCTTATACGTTCCCTCTGCCCTCTCAGTCCAAGCCTATTCCTTCTCATTACTTCCTTTATCCTCGTGTCCTTACTATCATCCTCATTCCTCGTCCTCCCTCCTCGCCCCCCTCCTCCCTCCAACTCCTTGAGGGTTTCCTTGCCGCTTCCCTCCGCTCTTCCTGCCGCCCAATCCCTCCCCTTTCTTTACATTCCGCCGCCAAGCATTGTTTGTGCGCCCTCGCTTCCGCGGGGGGGGGGAGGAGGGGGGGGAGGAGGGGGGGGGGGAGGAGGGGGGGGGAGGAGGGGGGGGGAGGAGGGGGGGGGGAGGAGGGGGGGGGAGGAGGGGTGGGGAGGAGGAGGAGGAGGAGGAGGAGGAGGGAGGAGGACCCTTTTCCGATCCAGTCCACCTGTTTTGTTTGTTGTAGCTTCCTCCTTCTCCGCCCACCCTGCCCACCCTCTCCACGCACTGGGGCCTCACATCCCTGCTGTGAGGTTTGCTGTATAGTTCCCCCTCCTTCTGTCTCCATCCCTCTTGATATGCGAGCCTTGCTTTATTGTTGCCCCCCCCCTGTCTCTCTCTCTCTCTCTTGCTCTGATTATTGTTTTTTTATTTTTCTTCACTCTCCCTCTCTCTCTTCCTCTTGCTCTCTCCCGCTCTCTCTCTCTTTCTCGCTTTCTTTCCCTCCTGTAGGAGGGACGGAGGAGCCAGGCGGAGTCAGAAGGGAGGAGGAGACCCAGAGGGCATGTTTCTAGTCGCGGCGGTGACGAGCGTTATGGAAAACAGAGGGTGGGGGGCAGGGGGGGGGGGCATAGCGTAAGGCCCCCGCCCCCCACCGCAACAGATTGCGGTGTCGGACGCACTGAGGCAGTGCCGGGCACTCACTGAGGGGGGGAGCGTGACGTTATGGGGGTGTGTGGGAGGGAGGATGTGGGGGGGGGGGAGTGCCGCGCATCATGGCTCAGAGGGTAAGAGAACACTCTCCCATAGGAGGAGGAGGAGGAGGAGGAGGAGGAGGAGGAGGAGGAGGAGGAGGAGGAGGAGGAGGGGGAGGAGCCAGAAGCCAGGAGGAGCCAGGAGGACACCGAGAGTTCCGCACATCCCCCTAAAACTGTCGTTGGTCACGCCCACAAGCGCTCCGCATTCCTCCTGCCTTGTTTCTCCTTCTCGCTGTCCTCCTCCTCCTCCTCCTTCGCCTCCTCCTCCTCCTTTTAACGTTGACCAAACCTGCTTCCTCCTCCTCCTCCCCCTCCCCCTCCTCCTCCTCCTGCTCCCCCTCCCTCTCCTCCTGCTCCTCATCCTTCTTTTCCTCCTCCTCCTCCTCCTCCTCCGCTTCCCCATCAGTCACATCTCCTTAAATGGTAATTCCTCCCGTCGCGTATTTTCGTTTTGACACTTGCGCTAGCTTCCCGGATAGGGAGCGGCCCCTTTCAAAGTGGGGCTCTCGCCTGAGACCCGCGAACGTTCGTTTTAAAGTCTTGCCGCAGCTCCACGGATGGGGGGGATGTGGTTCCCACAATGTGGCTCGCGCCTCAGCGCCGCGCACATTCGTTTCAAATAGTTGCGTTCGCTTCGCGCATGGCGGGCGGATCCTTTTTCAGAGCGGGGCTCTCGCCTCGGACCCCTGAGCGGTCGGCTCGGCATCTTGCAGCAGATGCGAGGAATGAGCACCACTTGTCTTCACAGTAGGGCTCTCGCCTCGGCACCGCGCGCACTCGTTTTTGAGCGCAGCGTTTCGCCGCATGCAGGACCATGTTTCCAAGTGGAGGGATCGCCCGGGACCTCGCCAAGCTTCATGTTCAAAGCACGCAGCGTTGCACGGATACATGGCGGCGTTTTTCTCGCAATGGAGGTGTCGTCTGAGAGCCTCTCTCAGTTCATGGCCACGAGTGAAATTGTGTGCACCAATTGCACGGATGGGGGGGGTCATTCTTCGAAAGAAGGATCTCGTTGGGCACCTCGTTGAATTGTATGTTCATGGTCTTCCGCGTTCATGACTACGCACCAGTAGGGTACAAGACAATGTATGTCAAGTCGGGGCCCTCGCCAATACGGCATACCCAAATACGTTGGTTTTGTCAGAGGGGTGCGCTTCCCGTGATGAAGAGGAGAACCTGTAGGGACGTGAGGGTGCATCGCATCATCGCGTACGCATCTGTTTTTTTGTGTTCTCTGATGGCCCTTACCAATCCTCATCATCATCTTCCTCCTGTCTCTGGGACCTCCTTCCCGCTCCCCACCTGCAGACCTCCCCTCCGCCCGCCCCCCGGCGCGCCCAGCCCGCCCGGCGCTGCTTCCGCATGGTCGGCGGGGTGCTGGTGGAGCGGACCGTGTCGGAGGCGCCTGCCGCGACGGTGCCACGGCTGCGCTTTGCCCGTCGCCTTTGCCGTCGTCGGCGCCGTCGTGGTCGACGAGGGGGGAGGAGAGGCACAACACGACGAGGAAGGAGGGATGATGAGGAGGAGGGAGGGGTCGAATCGAACGGAGCCCTCTCAGGGCAGTAGAGGTCAGAAACTCGTGGGAGCCCCGAGGTGCTCCCTGGTTTACGACTACGCGTCCAACCCGCATCGACACTTGGATGCCATTTCGAGGAACTTTGTTGTGCCTCCGTGCTGGCAGGATCACTGGTCTGACGGCCCGTGGCACTTTTCATGGCGTCAGCATCGCAGAGCGGATTTGGTTCGGATATCGATCGGATGGGCCTGGAGTGTCTCGGAGAATTTCGTTCTGGATTTCGAGGTGTATTTCATGCGGATTTCTGTTGGCCAGGAATGAATACCAACAAACGTCCACACGAAACTCACTCCGTTTTTCACTCGCCGCTTCTGGGAAACAATCCACAGAGAAACCCACGCAGAAATCCGCTGCAGCACGTGGGCCAGGCCGGTGCAATGACACGGGTCTGACGGCCCGTGGCTCGACTAGGAGTAAGAGTGACCTTTCGCCGGAGTGACCTCTGGTGCGGGCACAGATGGGCCCCCAAATGGCCGAAAACGAGGCAGCAGCAGCTGCTTGCGCGCCCAGGTTTGGTCCCCCCGCGACCCCCAAAAAAGCCGCGCACAAAAGGTCACTCTTACCCAGGGTCACTCTTGCGTGCAGCCGAGTGGCACCTCCGATCTCCGACGCAGCGACGAGGCCACCCCGAGACACCAATACTTGCAAGTGGCAGCCCAGGGCCGACGCGCCGTTGAGCCGAGCCCGCCGCTGGGCGTCCAGGACGTCCTCAGGTCCACAGCGAGGCCCACAGCAGCCGCGGCGGCGGAGGAGGAGGAGGAGGAGGAGGAGGAGGAGGAGGGGGAGGAGGAGGAGGAGGAGGAGGAGGAGGAGGAGGAGGAGGAGGAGGAGGAGGAGGAGGAGGAGGAGGAGGAGGAGGAGGAGGAGGAGGAGGAGGAGAGGAGAAGGAGGAGGAGGAGGAGGAGGAGGAGGGGGAGGAGGGGGAGGGGGAGGGGGAGGGGGGAGGGGGAAGGGAGGGGGAGGGGGAGGGGGAAGAGGAGAGGGAGGAGCAGGAGGAGGAGGAGGAGGAGGAGGACGACGACGACGACGAAGCGGCAACAGCCACAGGGAGGAGCAGAAGGAGGAGGAGGAGGAGGAGGAGGAGGAGGAGGAGGAGGAGACCCTCCTCTTCCTCACGCGGCCTTCGGGCGCATGCCCGCACAGGCGTTCCGCGCCGTTCCGTTCGGTTCCTCCTCTTCTTCCTCCTCCTTTTCTTCCTCCTCATCATCCTCCCTTCTCCCCACCCCTCCCCCTCGTCATCCTCCAGTTCAGGCCTCCTCCTGTCTCTTCCTCCTCCCTCCTCCCTCCTCCCCCTCCTCCCCCGGCGCCCCTCTCTTCTTCCCGGAGGCCCCAGGAGGACGAGGGCCCCGCGCGCTTCCCTTGCGCGCGCGCAGGCGAAGCCCGCCGTGGAGGGGAACATGGCGCGCACTCGCCGCCCGTCCGCCCGCAGGGCAGCCTGCACGAAGGGCAGATAGCGCGGGGCCGCAGAAGGCAACGACTGGGCCACTGACGGTAGCAACTGGGCCACGAAGGGGGCCACAAAGGGCGACCCCGGGCCACGAATGGCATGCATATTGGGCCAGGACGGGCGCGAACAAGCGGGGGCCACGAAGGGCTTACGTTTAGTGGGCCGCGGAGGGCAAGGACGGGGCCACTAAGGGCAGCAACGGGGCCACGAAGGGCAGCAACGGGGCCACGAATGGCGACAGCGGGGCCACGAAGCGCATGCATATGGGGCCACGACGGGCGCGAACGAGCGGGGGCCACGAAGGGCATACATATATGGGGCCACGAAGGGCAGCGAGGGGGCCACTAAGGGCTGCAACGGGGCCACGCAGGGCAGCGAGGGGGCCATGAAGGGCTGCAACGGGGCCACGAAGGGCAGCAACGGGGCCACGAGGGGCTGCAACGGGGCCACGAAGGGCAGCGAGGGGGCCACGAAGGGCTGCAACGGGGCCACGAAAGGCAGCGAGGGTGCCACGAAGGGTTGTAACGGGGCCACGCAGGGCTGCGAGGGGGCCACGAAGGGCCACAACGGGGGCACGAAGCGCAGCGAGGGGGCCACGAACGGCTGCAACGGGGACACGAAGGGATGCGGGGGGGCCACGAAGGGCTGCACGGGGCCACGAGGAGCAACGAGGGTGCCACGAAGGGCTACAACGAGTCCACGAAGGGCAGCGAGGGGCCCACGAAGGGCTTCAACGGGGCCACGGAGGGCAGCGAGATCATGCTTTCTAAATATTATGTGAGGGAGTCCCAAGCGTGAGCGCGACTCCTGGGTGCCTGAGTGTGGGTAGCGCGGCGCTTGAAGAAATTCATGCGCATTCCAACGCAAGGGCGCTATTCTTAAATAACCTGCAAGCAAGTCTCCAGCGAGAGCGCGATTCCAGAGCGCCGAGAAAGCGATTCCTTAATTTGGGAAGTCCCAAGCGAAAGCGCGATTCCTGAATACAGTGCGAGGAAGTCTCAAGTGGGAGCGGGGGTCCTGGCTAAATTGTGAGAAAGTCTCAGGCGGGAGCTGCTGTTGTTGAAATGGGGGCCAGCAGCACAGTTTGAGCTTCAAGGCTTTCCCTGTAAAAAAACAAGGTGCGAGCGCCGGGAGGAGCACTACAATTGGAAAAGTACAATGTGCACCGGAGGGGGGATCGATGTGCCCCGAATGTTTGAGCTCTTACAGCAGCTCAACGCGTTGGCGGCGGTCCCATGCGCCACCGTCTCGTGTCTTTATCGAAGACGATACCGTGCATAGCGCGCTCGTGAGGATCATACCCGAGGCGGTCGCCGAGCTCTCTGTCATGACGGGTGTAGACATCACTACGGGGCAGTGAGGGCGGGTGAGGCTGAGCCACGGTTTCGGTACCGAGAGCCATTCTGGTGCGGCGGATTCGATTTTCTGGCCGGTCTGACGGGCGGATTCGACGTGCTGCGGGCTGCTCCGATCTTTTCCGATCCGGATGCCCGCCGATCCGATTCCGATGTTTGGGATCCGAGTGGGTCAGGAAGGAAAGGTCGGCACGAACACACACACACACACAAGTCGTCATGATCATGCGAGATCAGCAAACATTGGCAATGGAGGGGACGAGGTTCAAGCTGGCGATTGATATGTGTCCCCCAGTGCTCTTTTAGTGAGGGCTGGCGCTGCAGACGTGCAGCGGGAAGGCTGACGTGCATCGTCTCTCGTCCCAGGAGGTGTCCGACCTTCTCCCGAAGATCCTGGGGCAACTTTCTATTCGTCCAGTATCCGTACTGCGGGGTGCTTGTTGCAAGAGTCTCGGGTTGTTTGAAGTTCGTGGTCTCGTACTGCGAATTCCTTGCCTCGTACTGCGGATCCTTGGTCTTCCGTTGTTGGCCCGCTCCCCCTTCCATCCTCCCTGCTCTCTCTCTCTCTCTCTCTTCTCCCTGATTCCCTTCTCTACCGCTGCTTCTGCTCTCCTCTCTCGCCCGCCCCTCCTCTCCCATCCTCCATCCTCGCTTCGCTCCAGGCCACCCAAGTCCAAAGCGCCTCCTGTTTGGCACAAGCCCCTCCCGACCGACAGTACCAGTACTACCAGCGCCGACTTCGGTACTACACCGTTGTGCTGGGGGCCGGGGTCGAAGATGTTCATCCAAATGAAGATGAATTTTCAGAGTTCCGCGCGGATGTCTTGAATCTGCGTTGGTGCTCAATTGCGGCGCCTCCAGCGCGGCCGCTAGCACGCTCCGCACGCCAAAGAGGGGGGGGGGGCAGCGCCGATCTGAGAAATCCGCGCGGAGCTCCGAAAGTGTACGTTGATGCAGTGCTTTTGTCTTTAACGAAAGCCCGCTGGCAGCAGAAGGCAAGAGGCCACCAGGCGGCAGTAGCGAGACTTCTGGATCCTCCCTTTGCCCGTTGGCCTTCGTGGGTGAAGAGTCACGGTTCGCCCTTGCTCCCTGCTGTTGCTCTGCCTTCTTCCTTCATATCCTTTCCTGTTGTCTGCTCCTGCTCCTCCCTATCTGTCTGTCTCCCCCTCCTTTTATGTTTGCTTCTCTTGCCTGTCATCTGCCTCCTCCTCCTCCTCCTCCGCCTTCTCCTGTGTGTTACCTCTGTGTGGTTCCCGCTACGCCCAAGGAAAACATCAAGAAGGCTGTGGCGCAGCTCGAGGCGGGGATGGAAGGGCCGAGTACACAGAAAAGGGAGCGCATGGCAGGGAGTGAATGGTGTCGAGAGGAGCTTCGATGAAAATCAACTGCATAAACATAAACTTGCGGAGCTCTGCGCAGATTTCCTAAATCGGCGTTGGCGCCCCCCGGCGGCGCCTCCGGCGTCGCCCCTGGCGCGCTCCGCGCGCCAGGGAGGGGTCCAGCACCGATGCAAGAAATCAGTGTTGACCTCCGAAAGTTTATGCTTGTACCATTGTTTCTGATTCCACTCCTGTGCTCGTGCGTTGGTCATCCGTCGTGGGTTCTTCGGCTGCATTCGCGCGGCATCGTCGCAGGCTGAGTGATTTCGAGGGAGGATCCCGCAGGGCGACAATTCTAGGGTGGCCAGGTGCTTTCCCAGTGCATGGTCAAACGGTTGTGCCTGCGAGCTGGCCGATCGGAGACGTCCTTGGATGGCTGGGCGGCTGGTGCTGCCGCCGAGGTCGGGCCGCTCTGCGGCATGCTTTGAACGGCCGTGTAAAAAAACCGTTCCAAGAATGGACGGGGTAGGGGAGGGAGGACACGAGCGTGAGCAAGGGCTCCCCCGAGGGCGCGAAGTTATTCGCGCTTCGCGGTCCTCGATCCTCCTCCCCCTCCTCCTCGTCCTCCTCTTCTCCCTTTGGGGGGGCGGCGCGAGAGCGCGAAGTTATTCGCGCTTCGCGCTTCGCGCAGCGCGAAGCGCGAAGTTGGGAGCCCTAGACGAGCGTTAGAGGCATTATTGCTCACCGCCAGACAGGTTGGGCCTGCCAGATCAGAAGGGAAAGCCCGCCCGGCAGCACTGCAGACCGCGGCCAACGGACGCCCGAGTAGTCCGCCCGCCAGCTTGGCATTCCGCGGCCGCCAGGTCAAGCACATCGACGCAAGAGAAGTCGAATCAGGCATGACCTAACATGACAAGCGTCACTGCCTCACGCCGTCCGCTGACATCAAGAACATATATCGACAACACCAATGGAGACATTGACAACATAGACCAACAAGTGACAGAAGTAACCTACGCCAGCACAACTCAGCTACACTTGGCACCTGCAACCATTGACAACGACAGGCACCACCAACAGGCATCATACACACATTCCGAACGCAAACTCGTGCAACATCTCATGCGTAGCCCGCAGATGCGGATAAGAGTGAGGGGGCGGTGGGGACGTCGGCAATCAGCGAGACTCCGGAGAAGCCCGCCGCAGGCGCTAATGTGTCACAAATTATACAACGAGCCCGCCGCAGGCGCCGATTTTTCTTTAAAACAATGTGGATCGGTCGCGGGTGGATCGCGAGTGGGTCGCGGGTGGGTCGCGGATGGGTCGCGGGGTGGGTCGCAGGTGGGTCGCGGGTTGGGTCGCGGGTGGGTCGCAGGGTGGTCGGGTGGGTCGCGGGGTGGGTCGCGGGTTGGTCGCGGGGTGGGTCGCGGGTGGGTCGCGGGTGGGTCGCGAGGTGAGTCGCGGGTTGGTCGCGGGTTGGGACGGAGGTGGGTCGTGGGAAGGGTAGCGGGGTGGGTCGCGGGGGGACGACGACAACAAACAAACAAACAAACAACAACAGCAGCAACAACAACGCAACAAGCAGAGTCCTCACTACGGATCCCCACTTCAGTCATGCACCCAGGGACAATGAATGACCGTTCGGCCCCCTCACTCTAACATACCAGATGCCAAGCACATGCGCAAGTACCATACCCCAGGGACATATTCAGATGCATGACATGGATTTTTATGTATGTGTACACACATGTGCTTACTGTGAATTCTGCACACGTGGCAGGTATCCAACACGTGCAGTGAGACATTTGGCATCAACACGAGAGGCCTAGAACATGCGTAAAGTGCAACACATGGAAACACAGAAATGCATCAGAGGCACTAGTGACCCACACAGTCTGCATAACAAGCGAAGTTGCTGGACATGCGCACATGCGACACTACGGGTGTTGACACATGCATGTACCCAATTTGATGGATACCAGTAACACGCATGCAGCAGCATGCGCACATACCCCCGCATGGAGAACCTGTTGAATGACGGTACATAACCCAGTGTGTAAACGTGTCGCAGACAGAATTCGAAACCATTCGTAGCTTCAATCGGTACCACCCGAAGTAATGTTAGGTATGTCTGGTTACCGTTTTTCTGACATCGACTGGTATTTGCTCTGAGGCCACTCTGAGCGACGGCATCGGAGCTTTGTTATGTAGAAATGGTCCGTACATGCTGTCCAGGCGCGGGAGGAGCGCCACGAGAGCGGCCAATGTCCTCCAAAGTAGACGCGGAGGAGGAGGAGGAGGAGGAAGAGGGAGAAGAGCTGGCAGAGGGCAGGGGCGGAAGATTGAGGTACGCATAGGTATGCTGAGGTATGATGGATGGTCTTCCTGCTATGCATCCTATTCCGCCTCTTGTGAATTACCTCATCCTTCTCCTCCTCCACCTTCCACCCCCTCTATACACATCACTTATTCCGGTTCCTCTTGCTTAGCCCTCCTCCTATCTCTCCTCTTGTCATCCTGTTCATCTTGTTCATCCTCCTCATCCTGTTTATCCAATTGTTTCTGATTCTGGAGCGAGGTTGGGGAACTACTGGAGCAGGTCCCCGACCTTGGGGATGGGGAGAAGGAGGAGTAGGAGGAAGGGGCGGATAGAGGGGAGGAGAAGGAGGAGGAGGAGGAGAAGGAGTACACCAAATCCCCAAGAGCCCCTTTATGACCCTCCAGAGCTTCCCAGGATGTATGGAAACCCTGCGCACTGGACCCCCCCGAACCTCATATCAACCTTCTCCTTCCTCATCATCTCCTCCTCCCTCCCTACCTGATACTCGCCAGTCTCCTCTCTCCATCTCTCCTCCCTCTCTCCTGCTTCCCTCCCTGCTCCTCCTTTTTCCTCCCTTCCCCCCTCCTTCCGTCCTCCTCTCTCCATCCCTCCTCCCCATCTTCCTTCCTCCTCCTTCTCTCCCCTCCTCTCCCCACCTCTCCTCATACTTCCTAGGCTCGTCCCGCTCCCTCCTCGTCCTCCTCCCTCCTCTCTCCACTCCTCCTTGTCCACCGCACCCCCCGTCGCTGGCGACTGAAGCACGGCGAGGGCCTGGGGGAGGACCAGCTCAAGAAGAAGTCGAAGCAGCGCTCCGAGTTCGTGGACGGGGGCGGGGCGTGGGAGGCGTGGGTGCGGGCAATAGTTATATCCAAATCCAGTGCGTCTTGGATTCTTGGGCTCTCTTCCCCAGAAAACGTAGACGCACTGGATATGGATAAAAATCTGGCCCCAAGAGGCTTGATTTTATCCATATCCAGTGCGCCTCGGCGTTGCGGTACCTCTTCCCAAAAAGTCCACGACGCTCTGGATATGGATATAAGTACTGCCCGCAGTGGGGGGGCGAGGCCGGGCGAGAAGAAGGAGGAGGGGGGAGGGTGCAGGGGGTAGGGGAGGGAGGAGCAAGAGTCGAAGAAGCAAAAAGGCCATAAGCATAAACTTTTGGCGCTCCGCTGGGATTTCTTGGCTCCGCGCTGGGCCCCCCTGGCGGCGCCTCCGGCGCCGCCCCTGGCGCGCCAGGGAGGGGGGTCCGGCGCAGATCCAAGAAATTCGCGCGGAGCGCCACAAGTTTCCCTTAAGAGCGTTTTTCTTCTTCTAGGGAGGGCGCAAGCGGATACGAGGCATACGAGGAGAGGTTTGGAGCAGGAGGGCGAGGCTCAGGAGGAGGGAGGGGGCGGGAGGGGGGCACGGGGAGCCAGCCGCGAGTCAGGGGGGCTCCCTGCTCATCCCCGCCCAGTCGGAGGAGGAGGAGCGGGAGGAAGAGGAGAGAGGCGGAGGAGGACCACGGCAAGCCCAAATCTGCACCAACGATGCTGTTGTACACCCTCACGTCCCAGCTCCGTGCCTCACCAGTCTCTGCAGGTTGTAGTCCTGCCCGCTGCTGGACACGCCCTCCTTGGCAGACGAGCGCCCCATGGGCGTGTCGTTCAGGCGAGGCCTCGTTTTGGAACGGACCCGCCTTCCACCTTTCCAGGGTCAGGACATGCAGAGTGGACGGTTCATGGAGTTGGGGGGGAAGTCCAGCGACGGGTCCATGTTGTTCAAAGTGTACACCCTCTCTCCGTGCCGGCGCTGTGCATCTTCAAAGCTCTTGTCATAAAATTTCTGGAAGTCTCAAGCGAGGGCCCAATGTTCACAGTGAGCCGCACTCCATCCGTTTAGCTGTTGTACGATTGCGAACTCCAGGTCGTACAAGTTGAGGATGTCTCGAGCGGGAGATCCATGTTGAGAACGAGCAGTTTTTCACCCGCATACTTGCTACAAGTTTGTAAGACGAATGCGCGCGGCGCTAAGGTTAAGTCGGGCCTGTCCCTCTACAGGAGGAACAATCAGACATAGTCAATCAATCGTATTGGGACGAGTGGTGGTGTATGTTTGATCTTTGTTGAACATGTTTTGAGTATGTTTTATTGTATTCCTCGAACAGCGAGGATGCCCTTTGACCTGGCATCGCTCGGACGTGTGCATTTTTTCCTCGGCGAGGACCCTGGAGGAGCATCCTGGACCATCGAGCAAAAAACACACGAGCGACACCAAAAAATGCACGAGAAATGGACGTCCGAGCGACGGCAAGTTGAGAGCCTGTTTGAGACCAGCGCCCGCGGCGCCGGTGCGGGGGCTCCGTTTCGGAGGCGACCCGTGCTCCGCCCGTGCAGCTGCTGGAAACCTGGAGCCTCGAGGTCGTGTATTTCGAGCGGTCTCAACCTAACGACACGTCTGGTCGTGCGACCTCCTCCTCCTCCTCCTCCTCCTCATTCTCCTCCTCTTTCTCAGCTGCGCTCCACCTCCTACTCCTCCTCCTCCTCCTCCTCCTCCTCCTCCTCCTCCTCCTCCTCCTCCTCCTCCTCCTCCTCCTCTCTCCTCCTCCTCTCTCCTCCTCTTCCCCACCTCGCATGCCCTGGAGCCTGGAGCCTCAGGCGAAACGCCAGGCCCGACCCAACGACGCGTCTGGTCGTGCGACAGGCACTGGGATGTTTGCTTACGTCGCCTGCTGGCTCAGACCGGAGGCCTGGTTTACAAGCAGATCCGAACACTGAAACGTACGAATCACGTTCTTCCGGAACGCAAGCAAGTATCAGCGTATCAGCACACACATACGGAACAGATGTGTGATGCGGACACATATGTTCAGGTTTGTTTAGGTGTGCGTTCGTGTTGAAGGGCGTGCCACTTTTTGGGGGGGCCGAGAGATGTTTGGTATGCCCTTACAGTGAGATTTTCGCCGTATTCGGACGCTTCGGAGCAGTATTATCTGAGCTTGCTGGCACATTCACGCTGCAAACGCAACTTTCGCCTGATGCGGCTACCGCTTGCGGCTTGCAAGCGCGCTGGCACGGGCGGCATTGCCTGTGAGCAGTTCCCTCAACCGCGCGACATCGCTCGTGCAGTTGGTTTGCCTCTTGTTGCCCGAGCGGTTAAAGGCCGGAGGCTTAGGCGCAGTCCATGGCGCAATCAATCACGGGGTCGGGACGATGATGATGGCGCGGCGGCGCTCGGGACGACGAGGAAAACGGGCCCTGCGCGGGCAAAAAAAACACGGGGTCGGTCAAAGTTTCGGCTGCCGATAGGGCACACGATCTGGGATTCTCTGGGCGCAAGAAACCACCGCAACCGGAAGTTCTGGACGTCATTTAAATGATGTTTTTTGTCGGTTGTTTCTGCGTCGCGGCCGTCGTTGGCGAGTGTTGCTGGTTTGGCGCAGCGCTCTTTCGAGAGGCTGCAGCCTGGCCACCTGCGGCGGTCTTCCCGTGGAGATTCCCTTCGACGTGCTCTCGCGAGGCTGAGTGCGGGTCGCGCGCGGCGGGGCCTGTCTGCCACAACCCATTCGCGCGCTGATCGGGGGAGGTCGTAGCACACCACCCACCAAACCACCCCAACCCAACCCGACGGCCCAAATTTATCCTCGATTTCCAGTGGGGGGGGGGTCGGGGAACGTTGAAAAAACACGTGGTATCCGTACCCCCCCCCCCAACCCGAAATTCGGGTCAAATTCGGGTCTTCGGGTTGGGTTGGGGTGGTCTGGTAGGTAGTCAGTAGCACTACCCTCGTCAAAAGGAATCTCGAAAGTTGCTGGCACGTCGTTTCGATTTCGGCGCGCCCCTCAATGTCGACGTGCCGCCCCTTCAATGTCGGGGCGGGGGCAGAGATTGTCTGACCGAAGTTGACTCGAAAGTTTGACGTCGACCGACATTTGAGGGGCGGCGCATGCAAGTACCCCGCACTCATCGATACTCGGCCCCAGATCTTGCGACAAGCAGTTCAACCACGTCAGACATTTTTGAGGTTAGGTTTGACGAGGGTTGTAGTCAACACGTGGTCGCTGTGGCATTGCAGCGCTATGGTTAAGGCGGCGCGTAGCGCCGGTTTCACTTGTTAGCTGTGCGTGTCTTGCATGGGCGGATTGCCCCCGCGCAGCGATGCTTCGCGCGGCGTGATTGCGCCGATTTGGGGCGATGATGCGCGCGTTCATGCGGGCAGAGCGCCTCCGCGTGGCGAGGCCTCGCGTAGCGTCTAGCATGCCGCCAAATTTGCTTCTTCTGGGCTATCGGCCCCCCTGCCCTCCTTCCCTTCTAGGCGGCGCGCCAAAACATAGGAATGTCGTTCTTGCTGTTTTGTTCAGCGCTTGCGCTTGCCACGTTCGTTTGGGCGGTGATCATTTGTGGTTCGCCTCTCGCCTGGCCTCTTCCTTTTGCCCTACCCTTCCTTCTCTTCGAATTGTTTTTGTTTGAGGTTTCTCACTGCGCGCATCTCAAAATTCAGAGCCCGGTCGTCTCGTTGAGAGCGCGACTTCGTTGACAAGTCATACGTACTGCGGTTGCGTGTAGAAAACCAGGCGCTCGCGTTATGCCGATTTGTTCGCAGCAAGTCCCGCGCTCTGCGATTGCGCATGTTTCGGCGCGGTGAGTTTTAGAACACCGCCACGTAAACCGTACTACGCGACAGATCGTCGCCTATACCCGTGCAATGGCCGCAACATGTGACACGCTGATCCGCGTCGTTTCGGGGCGTACTCCTTCGTTTTCGTTGTCGCCCCCCCTACTCCTCCGTCCCCCCGTCGTGAGTCCCCTTATGTTTCTGCCTCATTCTGCGTCCGTTCTTCTTGCTTCTCTTGGGTCTCTCACGGGTTACTCTCAGGCCGCATTGGGCTTGTCACGGGGTCCTCTTGGGTTGTCTTGGGGGCCTTTTGGGGCACTCCTGGGCTGTTCTTTGGCTCAGTGGGACACTTCGGGGCCATCGTGGGCCGTCGTGAGCTCCCCCGAGTGTCAGCTGGTGCCGTCTGGGGTTCTGCCCGTCTCCATGGCGGTTTCTTGGGTTCGCTTGCGGATTAGCGGATGCAGTGCAGGTACGGCAGTGACGGCATCAGAGTCGCGTTCAGGTCTCGGCTGAACAGTTGCGTCGCGTTTCCAAGCGTGGTGGCTAGTTGAGGGCCTCCGACGGCCACGCTGGGGAGTTTGAATTTTGGGCCCCCCGCTCCAAGAAAGCATGGTGGACGCGAGGAACCTGCGGGTTCCTTAATAAATCCCCCTCTGGGGGCCTCGATGGTCCCAAAGCACGAGACATCTGTCGATCCACGAAATTTAATAAGGAGTTCCCGTGGCCCCAAGTAAGATCCTTATTTGGGTGCCCGGCAGTCCCACAATTCAGGGCCTTAGTATGGTCCTCGGCGGTCGCAGGTCCACAGGATTTAAAGATTTGGCACAGGTCCCAAAGTTCCCACATGCCCCACAGGTCTCGCAGATCTCGCAGGTCGCGCAGGTTTTACAGTCCCCGCAGGTCCCACATGCCCCACATGTCTCGCACGTCTCTCAGGTCTTGCAGGTCCCACTTGACCCACAATTCCCACAGGTCCCACGGGTCCCACCACGGGTCCCACAATTCCCCCAAGGCCCACAGCTGTCGCAAGTCTCACAAGTCCCGCAGGTCCAACAAATCTTGCAGGCGCCACAGGCCTCGCAAGTCTGGAAGGTCTCGCAGGCCCCTCACGTCCCAGTGGTCCAACAAACCCCATCATTCTCACATGTCCCATGAATCCTAGAGGTCCCACAGGTTCCACATGTCCCACCGCTCCCACAGGTCCCACAGGTCCCACAGGCCCCGCAGGTCACGCAGGTC